AAGGCCTGTGTGCATGCTAACCACTTCAAGCAATCACAAATGTATTCTTATTCGCGGCAAAAAAGATAAAGTAAAGCCAGACACTGTTTTTTTTTACAATGATGCAAAAAAGGGAGTCGATCTGTCTGACCAAATGTCGTCATATTATAATTCTTTACGAAGAACAATCAAATGGTACCGGAAACTTGTTATACAGTTGATATGCGGAACCTGTCTGGTGAATACGTGGTACGTTCACATAAAATGGGGAAGTAAACGGATGAAAATTTTTAAATTCAGAGGAAAGATTATTGACCATTTGTTGATGGATGTTGTAAATTCCCCTAGGGAAATAATAACAAAAAATAAAAACTATTTTCTGAGTTCCTACGAAGGACCCGCGAGGAAGTCGAGAAGGCGATGTAAAGAGTGTTATAAACGATTAGCAAACCTAAGAGGCAATCAGTACGTTATGAAGACAACAAAAAAAGTAAAAACATTTTGCAATAATTGTGAGGGTAAACCGGCACTTTGCTTAACTTGCTTTAAAAAATTGCATAAAAAATAGAATAATTATGTTCGATTATATTTAATTTATAGGTTTAATTATTATTTAAGTATTTTATACTGAATGTTTGATTATAATGTTGAAATGTTAATGTTTACTGATGAATAATTAAAATAAAATTTATTTTATACTATGTATTTTTTGATATTCGAGCGTGGCCCATCGGTGGGTCATGCCGCCCCACGGAACAATCAAGCATGACCCACCGGTGGGTCAAGCCGGCGTGAACTATATGATTTATTAAATCTTGCAGTACTGTCTCCGCATGTTCGTTTATCGCACCAAATTTTAATAAAACCTTGTCAACTTCATGCTCAACCGCATTACACGCCTCCATTATTGTTTTTCCTGGCTGACATCGCGTCACGTCTGCTTTATGTACGAATCACATGCCATATAGGCTTTCCCAGTCTCACACCCGTAGACACTGAAGTGCGCATCCGCGCGTCTCGCTCGCTACTGGCTACGCTACAAAAGAGAGCACCCTGCACGCGACACGGCCATGGCCGTCATGTGACATGCACGCGCGCCATACTCGTCCAATTCATATCGATTTCGGATCACCGTATCAGTTTGCCTCTTTCATGATACATTTCGAAAATAATACGCAAATCAAAAAACACATGGAAGTTTAATGAAAAAATAACTAACTCGAATTTATATACATTTCACTTATTATCTAGTTCTATTATCGTATTAAACATCTTTACATATATTACATATAGTTCACATCGAATAGCGTACTGTACACACGATTTTTAAAATATATTTGCATTACCAAACCAATGATTTGACAACAATGAAATGATGTCGCCATTTGTAATNAAAAAGAATGATCTCTTCTACGATTAATTCTCCATTTAAGAATTCTCGCGAACTTGCTTCTTAAGAGATTTTAATTTACCGCCTCGATAAAAGAGGTTAGGAACGTATGAAGAGAAACAAGATAAAAGTATAAGCATGCATCAAAGTAGGTCGATTTTACAGTATCAATGCATCCTTAGATATTCGTACTAACATAATATTAAATGTTTCTCTGCGTACGTCGCGGTTATTATCGATATCAACATCTCAGCAGAGTTTGACTCTTCGCTCGACGAAATGTCATTGATACATAGCGCGTTAGCCATTAATATTTTACCTTCTTCGAATTCTTTGTGGATGTAGAGGAAATTGATCTTGATGCGGAATGGCACCCAATAAGAGAACAAGGTACAGCAGAGGAAGAATATTCGGAGGAAGAAGAACTTTTGGATGAAGAGACGGATTGCGACGATCCAGTTGAATTATACAAACTATTCTTCACCGATGAGATATAGGAGATGGTTGTCGAAGAGACAAATAGATATGCAGTACAGCGCATATCCAATATAGCATCTGGCAGCAGAAGGCATCAACAAGCTTGGAAGCCTGTTACGAAACGCGAAATGAGTACTTTTATTGTTATTTTACTAATTATGGGTGTAGTGCGGTTACCGGAAATTAGACTTTATTGGTCAAAGAAGGAAATGTATGGGAATGCGCGCATAAAGAAAGCAATGAAACGCGATCGGTTTATGTCGATATTGAAATATTTACATTTCACTGATAATACGACTGATAGAATCGAGGATCGGTTATATAAAGTTCGAGACATTGTTGACAAAATTGTTCGCACTTCTCGAAATACCGTGAAACCCGGTAAAAATATAGTAATTGACGAAAGCATGGTTCCGTGGAGAGGACGCCTCAGTTTTCGGCAATATATACCAGGCAAGCGACACAAATACGGAATAAAAATGTACAAATTGTGCCTTCCAGGAGGTTATACGTATAATATACATATTTATTCCGGGATGGATGAAGCGAGATGTGGAAAACCACATTCTCAAGATGTCGTAATGAAATTGATAGGGAATTTATTGTTCGTGCGCCGGATATTGTTCACTGATAGTTTTTATACAAGTGTTCCCTTGGCCGAGGAACTACTCGGAAAAGATACATATATTTGTGGCACCATAAGAATGAATAACAAATTTTTACCACCGCAGGCAAAGCAGAAACAAAAGCGAGGCGACATTATGTCGTTTCAAAATCGTAGAGGGGTGAAGTTTATGAAGTGGACTGATAAAAGGCCTGTGTGCATGCTAACCACTTCAAGCAATCACAAATGTATTCTTATTCGCGGCAAAAAAGATAAAGTAAAGCCAGACACTGTTTTTTTTTACAATGATGCAAAAAA